CCAAAGTGCTGGGATTGTACAGGCTTGAGCCACTGTGCCTGACCCATGTTCTTTCAATCATTTAAAAGTGTAGGCAGCAGACATTCTCGCTGCCGTTCTACGTGTTGTGCCCTTCACAATGATGTGTCTTTCCTTTAATAAATTTACCTTCTTAATTAAAAAATCATTCAGATGTAAAGTCCATTTTTAGTTTCTGAGCCATACATATAAAAATAGATAGTGGGTGAGATTTGGTAAATTGAGACTTCTAGAATAAAGGCCATAGCCACATCTCAGTGTGATAGGTACCCTCTAGAACAGCCCCCTAATACCCACACCTCTTGATATCCATACTCTTATATAACCCCTGAGCATTAACCATACCTAGTGACTCATTTCTGACAATAAGATACCTCAAAATAGATTGGATATCAATTTTGGGATTAGTTTACAGAAAGACTTCTGTCCTGCTCTGCCTTCTCTCGGGATCTGTCTCTTAGGAAAGCAGGCCTCCCTGTTGTGAGCACTTCTTTGGAAAGGACGACATGACAAGGAGCTGATGTCTCTGGCCAGCAGCCAGCAAGGACCTGAAACCTGCCAAAAGCCACAAGTGGGGTTGGATTGGATCTTCTGAGGCCTGCTAGCAACCACCTAAGTGAGCTTGGAAAGGGATCTAAACCCAGTTCACCTTTGAGATTATTGTATCCACGGCCCGTACTTTGATTGGAGTCTTAAGAGACCCCAGTCAGAGGCACCCTGTGAAGCTGCCATATTAACTGACCCACAAAAACTGCGAGATAATATTTGTTGTTTTAAACTGACTGGTTTTGGGATTTTATGTAACAACAGATAAGTGATACATCATTAGACTCAGAAAAAGCACATGACAAAGTCCAATACCTGTTCTTGGTAAAAACAAATAGAAGGGAGTTTCCTTAACTTGATCAAATGCATCTATGAGAAGCCTACTGCTAACAGTATACATAATGGTAAAAGACTGAATGCTTTCCCCCTAAGGTTAGAACCACAAAAAGAATGTTCTTTCTCTCCATTTCTGTTCAACATTGTATTGGAGGGTCAATAAGGTAAAAGAAAAAAAAAGAAAATGAAATGAAACCGTCTTTAATTGCAGATTACATAATTGTGTGATTCTTCTATAGTTCTATATGTACCAAATCCTAAGGTAACAATGAAAAAATTAATAAAATTTATAAATAAGTTTGACAAGCATACTGGATGTAAGATCAATATATAAAAAGTAACTAATTTCTGTACATTAACAACAAACATTCCAAAAATGAATTTAAGAAAGCAGTTTCATTTACAGCATCAAGGAGAATAAACTATTTACAAATAAATTTAATTAAAAAAACCCACAGAACATTACTGAGAGAAGTTCAAGATATAAAATGGAGAGATGGTCCGTGGTCATGTATTGGAATACTTGATGTTGTCAAGATGACAGTTCCCTACAAATTAATTAAATTCAATGCAATTCCTATCAAAATCTCAGCAGGCTTTTTTCCCTGAGGAAACAACAAGCTGATTCTAAAATTTATATGGGACTACAATAGCCAGAAAAACTTTGAAAAATGAAGAACAATGTTGAAGGAGTTATGCTATCCAGTTTAAATCTTTTCATGAATCTATAGTTGTCGAGACTGTGATATTATTTTGAAGGATAGGCATGTAAATCAATGTAAAAGAAATAGAACATAGACCTAAATGTAAGAGCTAGCACTAACCAGGTGTGGTGACTCACACCTATAATCCCAGCACTTTGGGAGGTGGAGGTGAGAGCATTGCCTGGGCTCAGGAGTTCAAGACCAGCTTGAGCAACATGGCGAGACCTCGTCTGTATGAAAAATCAGCTGGGCGTGATGGTGCATGCTTGTGGTTCCAATTACTTGGAAGCTTGAGGTAGAAGGATCGCCTGAACCCATCAGGTCAAGGCTGCTGTGGCCATGAGTGTGCTGCTATACTCCAGCCTGGGTGACAGAGTGAGACTCCGACTTAAAAAAAAATATTTTAAAAAAAGAGCTAACACTATAAAACTCTTAGTAGAAAACGTAAGGAAAAGAACTTGGTGATCTTTGATCAATCCAAGAATTATTAGATACACCAAAAGCACAAAGTATAAAAGAAAAAGTGATAAACTGGACTTCATTAAAATTTAAAACTTTTATGCTTCTAAATATATCATTAAACAAATGAAAAGACCACACGTCGTCGTGCATGCCTGTAGTCGTAGCTACTTGGTAGACTGAGGCAGGAGAATTACTTGAGTCCAGGAGTCAAAATCCAGCTTGGGAAACATACTGGGATCTCCAACTCTCAAAAAAAAAAAAAAAAAGAAAAGAAAAGAAAAGGAAATAAAGCAAAAAAGCAAGGCACAGACTGGCAGAAAAAATTTGTCAATCATGTATCTAATAACAAGACTACTATCAAGAATATAAAGGCCATGGCCAGGTACAGTGGGTCACACCTATAATCCCAGCACTTTGGGAGGCCAAAACGGAAGGATTGCCTGAGTCTAGGAGTTCGAGACCAACTGGACAACATGATGAGACCTGATCTCTGCAATAAATCAAAAATTTAGCTTGGTGTGGTAGGACATGCCTGTAGTCCTAGCTACTTGGAGGGTTGAGCCAGAGGGATTGCCGAAGCCCGGCAGGTCAAGGCCGCGGTGGCCTTGATCATGCCACTGCACTCCAGCCTGGATGGCAGAGTGAAGCAACAACTCAAAAAAAAAAAAAAAATCAAACACAGTGGCTTACCTCTGTATAGTAAATCCCCTGCATATGAGTGAGCTCTGTTCCAAGAGCGTGATTGTAAGTCCGATTTGTTTGTACATCCAACAGTTAGCCTAGGTACCCAACTAACACAATCAACTATATAGTACTGTACTATAATAGGTCTATAGTACTTACACAAATAATATATTAAAAAACATTTTTAATCTTACAGCATAGTACCTTGAAAAGTACAGTAGTATAGTATAACAGCTGGCATACGGGGCTAGCATTGAGAGAACAGGCAAGAGGAGTTACTGTCTGGAGGAGGGAGAGGCTGTGGGAGATGGCAGAGCTGAAGGATCATCAGCAATAGGATATGGAGGGCAAGTTGCAATGTCGCTCATGCTTGGCATTCATGGCACAGGTTCTGGGGGCTGGATTCAGTTCTGTCTGCCCTCTTGAGAAAATGCATATTCACATCTTTGAAAGTTCTCAGCTTATAGGTTTATATGCAGGGAACTTACTGTGATCCCAGCACTTTGGGAGGCCAAGGTGGGAGGATTGCTTGAGCCCAGGCATTCAAGACCAGCCTAGGCAGCATAGCAAGACTTCCTCTCTACAAAAACTCAAAAAATTGTGTGGGCGCGACAGTGCTCGCCTGTAATCTCAGCTACTTTGTAAGCTGAGGCAGAAGGATCACTTGAGTCCAGGAAGTCAAGGCTATAGTGAGCCATGATTGTGCCCCTGCACTCCAGTCTGGGCAACAGAGTGAGACCCCAATTTAAAAAAAAATGTGTGTGTGTGTGTGTGTATCAGAATCAATAATGAGACAGTTCAACTAAAATGAACTAAAATCTTGGCTAGACATTTCACCAAAGAAGACATGAATGGATGGCTAATAAGCATAAGAAAAAGTTTTCACTACATAATTGGGAAGTAAAACCACAGTGTAATTGAGTTGTATTCAAAAAGAGACTACTGAGTGCAGTAGCTCATACCAGCATTTTGGGAGGCCGAGATGTGAGAATCGCTTGGGCAACATAGTGAGACCTTTTCTCTACAAAATATAGAAAACTTAACTGAGACCGAGGCAGGAGGATTGCTTGAGCCGAGGAGGCCGCTTGAAGGCTGCTGTGAGCTGTGATCACGCCACTGCACTCCAGTCTGGGTGACAGAGCAAAACTATCTTTTAAAACACACACAGAGAGAGACAATGTCAGCTATTGGCAAGGATTTTGAGACACTGGGAACCTCCTGCATTTCTGGTGGGAATATAAAATGGTACAGTCACTTTAGGAAACAGTTTGACCGTTTCTTACAAAGTCAAACATAATAACCTTACTATAGGATCTAGCAGTTTCACTCCTAGGAATCTATCCAAGAGAAATAAAAATGTTGGTCCATACGAAGGCCTCAGAGATACAGCAGCCAAGAAGGTGTGACTTGTTTGAATCCTAATTTGAAATAACTAACTTGGCAAAAAAAAAACATTTATGAGATAACTGGAGAAAATTTAGCACAGACTGAGTATCAGATGATATTAAGGAATTAAAGTACTTATCTGTTAGAAATATATATTTAAATATTTATAGGTGAAATGAAATGTCTGGGGTTTGCTTTGAAATACTGAAATAAAGGTAGGAATAGATGAACTAAAAATAGAATACTGAGAATGTTGAAGTTAAATGATGGTACATCAGGGTTCTCTGTGTTATTTACACTTGTGTATATTTGAAATTTTCCCTGATGAGTTAAAAATTAACATGAGAATTTGACCACTGGGAAAAAGTCTTCCAGAAACTCATAAAGGAAAGTATGGCAATATTATATCACTTACTTGCCTCAGCCCAATACCAGTTCATTCTTTGTATACCTTGCAAAAATCCAGTTCTTACATTACTGTTATTCAAAAGGCTATTTTGTGTACAGATTTAAGTTAGGAACAGAGGCAACACTTTCAGTCTTCAGGTATGACCACATGCCAGCAGGTCCTAGTTAGCTTCTGGTGTTCTGGATTTGCAAAATGCACATAGATCTCTTAAAGCTCACACAGGTAGTGTGCTGTTAATTTCTATTTGTTTCCAAATATGAATGAAAACAAATTTCTATTTGTTTCCACCTGCACCTCATACAAATCCTCATACACAGCCCAGCCTTTCTTCTTTGTGATTGGTATCCGCCTCTTCCTCAATGCCCAAGGTCCCAGGATTTATAACTGCTTTTTTTAGGGGTTAGAAATTTTATGGTTCCTATATATACACATATGTTTAATGAGTACAGTGTGTAATGTACCAAGTATATGTTCTTATTTTGTTTATTCATTATTTTCTTCTCTTTCCATTTTTCAGTACCTGTACTAGCCTTAGCAAGTTCTGTTCCAAACTCAGGCATCTTGACTTGGCTTCCTGTACATCAATAACGAACATGTCTCTAAAAGCCCTGAGGTAAATTTCTTACAATAAGCATGTCCAGTAACCAGAAAAAAAATACATATTTTCAAAAAATAACTAATATAAAGTAGGGATTGAAAACAACTATGTTTTATGGATATAAAGTATAGTTGAGAATATTTTGTTTTACCACTTGCCCAAATTCCAGTGACAGGACATACTCAAATGAAATGAATAGAGGTAACTGTGGGATTTCTGAATAGAGTAGTACAGTGTATACAGAAATGATTAGATCTTTATGAAGATTTGTTTTCTCCAAGATCAATGCACCAGCAGAAAAAAAAATGAAGGCTTGTTTTCACAAAGAAAAGAAGAAAAAGTGGCATATATTATAGCTTTAGTGATTAAAACTGGATTCTGGAACTAGGTTACTCACCAGGTACTTTAAACAAACATAATCTTTCTGAACTTTTTCTGATCATTTCATAGGATTATTAATAGAGTTAAACAAGATAATATTAGCCTAAAGTTTTTCCAGTATTTGACAGTTTTTGTGTGATAAAACTGACAGCTTCATGTAGTTCCACCTAAAAGTTCCTGGCATGTAGTAAGCAATTAGTACATATTATCTTAACGTTCATGTGTTTTTAAAGTACATTTTAGAAGATATATCTTAAAAGAAGGGTGAAATGCCCTTTCTCTATGGAAACTTGCCATTTAACCAACCTTTTATAAATGATTATTGTCCCAAGTATTGGTTGCATTTATGCATAGTGAGAATTAAGCTATTAGAAGAAGTGTGGATTTAGTTAAGTAGAATATAAGTCATCTAAAAATGTGGCTTCTTTTAGATCTTCTAAGTGAATGTTGAGAACATGTACCTAAGATTGCCTTGTAGGATACTAAATTTGATAGTATAATCTCTTTTATCACTTACAAAATATTTTCACATAGATGATCTAATTTATTTGAAAGCCTTGTGAGGTAGATAGGAGAGACATTTTATGGATAAGAAAATGTAAAAGGTTGTTAACTTCCAGGTACTATGATGCAACCATAAGATGTAACTAAATAAGGTATTATCACTGCCCTTAAGTCACTCAGAGTCAAGTGGGAGAAACAAACTGTTAAATATGATCATATTACCGTGGAATAAGTGCTTTGATAGAATTGAGTATATAAATTTTGAGAAAATATTGGAAGGGATATGGCTAATCTCAGGCTAAGAGAGGTTCAGATAGACTTCCTAAAGTGACTTGCCTGAAGTCAACCATTAATGTTGAAGGATGCACTTGAACCTAGATCTCCTGGCTTTATCTTCTGGATCTTTTCTGCAGGCAGGAATATTTAAAACAATTTATGCAGTGTTTCCCAAAGAATATCATAGAAAACTTGGGATTCTTTGATAGTACAAATGTGGACTGGATTGAAGATGAAGTTAGTGATTTGAAAGCAGTGATTGAACACAGGATAGCCTAAATTCAGCCTATAGAAGCAGAACTCTAGAAAAGTCCCTGATCAGGGAAATATGCAGAGCCTTTGTAATTTTTAAAAAATAAAAGTTAAAAAAGTCCTCATTGGCTGGATGCTGTGGCATATGCCTTTAATCTCAGCACTTTGGGAGGTCAAGGTGGGAGGATCACTTGAGACCAGAAGTTCGAGACCAGCCTGGGCAACATAGCGAGATGCTGTCTCTACAAAAAATAAAATATGAACTGGTCATGGTGGTATGTGCCTATAGTCCCAGCTACTTGGGAGGCTGAGGCAAAAGGATTGCTTGAGCCCAGGAAGTCAGGGCTGTAGTGAGCCATGATCATGCCACTGCACCCTAATCCTGTCTCTAAAAATAAGTAAAGAAAAAGAGAAGTCCTCATTATTATTTTGATACTGCAGGTTTAGTATCCCTAATCGAAAATTGGAAATGCTTCTAATTCCCAAGCTTCTTGAGTACTGACATGACACTCAAAATAAATGTTCTTTGGGTCATCTTGGATTTCATATTTTCAGGTTTGGGATACTCAGCTGTGTAAGTATAATGCAAATACTTCAAAATCTGAAATCGGAAACACTTCTGGTCCCAAGCATTTTGATTATGGGATACTCAACCCATAATATTATTACTGATAGAGAATCAGGTTTTGAATCTGAACTCTTTATTAATTACTCTGTAAACTTGAACAGGTCACTTAATTTCCATTTTCTGTCCAGAGACCTTAGAGATGTGTGATAAGTATGAAAAGAATATAAATCTGAAAGACAGTATTATGCTTTGTGTTTGTTGGTTGAACTAGATTTGAGATGACACTGCTGATGATACAGAGCCACATGAACATCAGAGACATTGCTAAATCAACTCTTTCTTTTGTTTTTGCTATGCGCGTGCCTATATTTTAAATATATATTAAGTAAATATATTTATTCTTGTGGGAGAGAATGGGACTGTGTCCATTCCTTTACTAAATAACCAATCAAATGAGACTTTGGTGCCTTTGGAATTGGATTTAGTGATATGTTTATCTCATTTTGTTTTATCCTAAGTGAGGGATGTCCACTGTTGGAGCAGTTGAACATTTCCTGGTGTGACCAAGTAACCAAGGATGGCATTCAAGCTCTAGTGAGGGGCTGTGGGGGTCTCAAGGCCTTATTCTTAAAAGGCTGCACACAGGTAATACTCCATGGAGTGCTTGTGAAATTCAGAGGAATTATGAGCTCTTTGTAGACAGCCCCAAGGTTTTTGTCTTGAGGGAAATGTTAGTTGTGTATATTACTGACCAAAGACACATGCTTACCAAAAATTAATATGTTTTCCTTAGAATAAAAGAATGAGCAGAATTAACATATGACTAAAGATAAATGTGGGGAGGGGAAGGAAGGGTGGGCAGATAAGATGATCCTGAGGATACACCATAGGCAAGAAGGGTTTCAAGCAATTAATTTGTACTGAAAAGGAAACTTGCTATGTTGTCAATGCTTGGTACTTTGAACTTGATAGGCAAAGAAAGCAGTCTTAGCAATTTCCACTTGTTTTTTTTAACCACCAGGAATTTTTCTTAAATATGCCAAGTATACAGCAACCTTCATTTTGTTGTTGATGCTTATTTTCTGCCAATCACTTTATAAATCCAACATCTTTTGTTATTAAAAATTTTACTAGCTGGGTGTGGTGGCTCACACCTGTAATCCCATCACTTTGGGAGGTGGAGGTGAGAGGATTGCCAGATTTCAGGGGTTCGAGACCAGCCTGGGCAACTTGGTGAGACCTTGTCTCTACAATAAGTTAAAAAAAGAAAAATTAGTCAGGCGTGCTGGCGCACCCCTGTGTTTCCAGCTACTTGACAAGGCTGAGGTGTGGAAGGATCACCTGAGCTCAGCAAGCCGAGACTATAGTGACCATGAGCATGCCACTGCACTCCAGCCTGAGCGACAGAGTGAGACCTCTACTCAAAAAAACTTTTTTACTACCTCAGTGTTTTACAGTGAAAAAAAGAATTTAGCAGGGTGTGGTCCCTCACACCTATAATCCCAGCACTTTGGGAGGTGGAGATGAGAGAGTTTTGTGAGCCCAGGAGTTCAAGACCAGCCTGGGCAACTTGGCGAGACCTCATCTCTACAATACATTTAAAAAATAGCCGGATGTGGTGGCATGTGTTTGTAGTTCCAGCTACTTGGAAGGCTGAGGCTGAAGGATTGCCTGAGCCCAGCAAGTCAAGGCTGTGGTGGCCATGTTCGTGCCACTGCATTCTAGGCAGGCAACCAAATGAGACTCCGACTCAAAATGAAAAAAGAATTGACTAAATAACATCTAGAAAGAAATAATAAAGAGTAGATTTCAATTGTGACTGAAACAATAGTGGTAAGCTCTACTTTATTTTATTGATAGTTACTAAAACTGTAACTTAGCTTCCATTAAAAATAGCCTCATTCTTTTACCATGATGGGACGGGTTCCATGTTTGAAACAGAGTTTCAGATGTATGACTACCTTAAAACAACAGCTTCTGGTTATTTGTGGAATTCTGAAAAATATTGATTAGAACGCATCATTATAATCAGTTACTTAACCACCTGTTTTCTGCACCATAAGCATGGCACTGATCACTCAGCAGGAGATAAACACTGTGGATTCCTTTCTTGGCTGCTTCTTCTAAAAGTTTGTTATTTAAAAAAACTTCATGGCAGGGCACAGTGGCTTACACCTAGAATCCTAGCATTTTGGGAGGCTGAGGCAGGAGGATTGCCTCAGCCCAGGAGTTCAAGAACAGACTAAGCAACAGAACGAGAATGAAAGAAACAAAAAAATAAGTTAGGCACGGTGGCATGTGCCTGTAGTCCTGGCTACTCAGGAGGCTGAGGCAGAATGATCACCTGAGTCCAGGCTGCAGTAAGCTGTGATCATGCTACTACACTGCAGGCTGGGTGACAGAGATCCTGACTAAAACACACACACACACACACACACACACACACACACACACACACACACACACAACCTTATAAGGGGCATAAAAGTGTGAAAATTATTTTGACTTAATAGTTTCTCAGCAAAGTAGTCAAATATATTTAATTTATCCTAAGTAAAATCCGTAAATACTAGGCAGTGTTTATTTCATCTTTTCCTTGATTTGTTGATAATACAAATTTGAACATCATCAGAATTGATTTTAAAAATACTAGTAGCCATACTAGTAATATTAATTACATTTTTATGTGATCATAGTTCATTTTTCTGGTTCATTGTTCCTTTGAGACTCGGTTGGCTGTATTTAAAATGTATTTGATGAATGTATACATTCTTAAATCTCTTCTTTGAAACAACATCACTAATCATTTTTTCACCCTTTTAATCTTGCTAGCTAGAAGATGAAGCTCTCAAGTACATAGGTGCACACTGTCCTGAACTGGTGACTTTGAACTTGCAGACTTGCTTGGTAAGCATCCCTTCCTACAACTCTCCTGTTTTAGTTATTTCAGTAATAACTTTTAAGAGTTTCAGTCATCAAGACCAGTGGTTTTCCTACTACAACCCCACTCCCTATCTACTTGACCCAGGGGCTGTGGCACAGATGAGATGATGGAACTGTGACTCCACCCCTTTCTTTTTTTTTTTTTTTGAGTTGGAGTCTCACTCTGTCACCCAGACTGGAGTGGATTGGCCGCTTCCGGCCACCTCAGCCTCGACCTGCTTCCGCCTCAGCCTTCCAAGTAGCTGGAATTACAGGCATGTGCTACCACGCCCGGCTGATTTTTTGATTTACTGTAGAGATGAGGTCTTGCTGCCCAGGCGGGTCTCGAACCCACGGGCTCAGGCAATCCACTCACCTCAACCTCCCAAAGGTGCGGGATTACAGGCTGAGCCACCGAACCCGGCTCCCTTTCTAATCTATTTAGGAAACTGTCTCCCTTTTTTTTTTGAGTCAAAGTCTCGCTCTATTGCCCAGGCTGGAGTGCATACTCATGGCCACGACAGCCTCGACCTCCTGGGCTCAGGTAATCCTTCTGCTTCAGCCTTCTAAGTAGCCACTGCACCTGGCTAATTTTTTTATTTATTGTAGAGACAAGGTGTCACCATGTTGCCCAGACTGGTCTTGAACCCGTGGACTCAGCAGCAGTCCTCTTGCCTCTGCCTCCCAAAGTGCTTGGGATTACAGGTGTGAGCCATTGTGCCCGGCAAGAAACTGTCTACTTTTTAAAGTCAGCCATTCACGTACTTAAGTGTTTAAAATTGCAATCACACTTTATAACCAGTTAAGATGTGTCAGTGGGTCACAACTCTGGGAACTTCTGATATAAAAGATGATGAGTAATATGTACTCTTTAGGTAAGTTACTTTTAGGTAGCATCTGTATTTAGCATTTTGGCTTGTTCAGACTGTTAACAAAACCTCTGAATTTTACTCAGATAATTTGCTGAAACTATTCAGAGGCCTAGAATGCTAGCAATACACTTTGGAGTGAGAACCCCTCATAGCAAAGAAAAAAGTTGGTGAGGGTTTTTGTATGTGCCAAGCCTTCTTCTTTTGCCCTTCCTTTCCTGTTTGATCACTTGAAATTGGAGTGCATAGTGGCCATTTAGGTTAAAGGTGACAAGTAGAGGGCTGCAATTGATACAGTTTAAGCAACTTGTCCTTGAGGGAAGGTTCTGATAATGATATGCTTAGGAAATGCCTGAAGGTTGAGTTAAAAAGATGACATTTTTTCCTTTTATTTCTGATCATTTCTTCCTTATCCTTTGATTGTCACAATTGCTCCCAGAATTTGACTAATTTTTGGTTTTTTATTTTTTTTGAGTAGGAGTCTTACTCTGCCACCTAGGCTGGAGTGCAGTGTACACTCATGGCCACCGCAGCCTCGACCTGCTGAGCTCAGGTGATTCTTCTGCCTCAGCCTTCCAAGTAGTTGGAACCACAGGCACGCACCACCATGCCTAGCTAATTTTTTGATTTATTATAGAGATGAAGTCTCCTCAAGTTGCCCAGGCTGGTCTCGAACCCTTGGACTCAGGCAACCGTCTCACCTTGGCCTCCCAAAATGCTAGGATTACAGGCTTGAGCCACTGTGCCCAGCCTTTTAATTAAATTAATTAATTAATTAATTTTTTTCTTCTTTTTTTTGTTTTTCTTTTTTTTTTTGTTTTGAGTTGGAGTCCTACTCTGTCGCCCAGACTAGAGTGCAGTGGCCGCTCCCGGCCACCGCAGCCTCGACCTGCTGGGCTCTGGCGATCCTTCCGCCTCAGCCTTCCAAGTAGCCGGAATTACAGGCACACGCTACCATGCCTGGCTGATATTTTGATTTATTGTAGAGATGAGGTCTCACTGCCCAAGCGGGTCTCAAACCCGCGGGCTCAGGCAATCTACTCACCTCAGCCTCCCAAAGGCGCGGGATTACAGGCTGAGCCACTGAGCCCGGCTTATTTATTTATTTTGAATTGGAGTCTCACTCCATCACCCAGGTTGGAGTGCAGTGGCATGCTCACGGCCACTCCAGCATTGATTTGCTAGGTTCCGGTGATCTTTCCACCTCAGCCTTCCAAGTAGCCAGAACAACAGGCGTGCACCACCATGCCCAGCTAATTTTTTTTGTATTTATTGTAAAGACAAGGTCTCACCAAGTTGCCTAGGCTGGTCTCGGAACCCATGGGCTCAGGTAGTCCATTTGCCTTGGCCTCCCAAAGTGCTAGGATTACAGGCTGAGCCACAGAGCCCATCCTTAATTTTATTTATTTTTTATTTTTTGTTTTTATTTTTTATTTTTTTTGAGTTGGAGTCTCACTGTCGCCCAGACTGGAGTGCAGTGGCCGCTTCCGGTCACCGCAGCCCCAACCTGCTGGGCTCCAGCAATCCTTCCGCCTCAGCCTTCCAGGTAGCCGGAATTACAGGCACGTGCTACCACACCCGGCTAATTTTTGGCTTATTGTAGAGATGAGGTCTCGCCAAGTTGCCCAGGCGGGTCTCGAACCTGCAGGCTCAGGCAATCCACTTACCTCAGCCTCCCAAAGGCGTGGGATTACAGGCTGAGCCACCAAGCCCGGCTTAATTTTATTTTTAAGGTTGAAATTTTTACCCTGAGAAAGCAAGCACAACTGTTGTAAACATGAAAGTGTCATCTTACGGTGCTAGAAAAAAGTTATCCTTGGACAGTTTCAAATATATATGTGTGTGTAAACACATATATATAAGCATACTGGATATATACAAATATTACACGTACATACATACCATTGGCAAGTTTAGCTTGGTTTTCCTTTAGCCTTCTAACAGGCAGGAGTCACAGTTGGTAAGCATAAGGAACCAGTTATGTCATATGTGTATCTTATTTTTTTCCTTTACCCAAATCTTAGTACTGGAGTCATTTATTCCCTACAGTGTAATAAAATAATTCTCAGCATTCATGAGATTTCATGTTCTGCTCAAAACTATTGAAGTGACTAAAGTACATTCTTTTTTTTTTTTTTGAGTTGGAGTCCCACTCTGTCACTCACTCAGACTGGAGTGCAGTGGCTGCTCCCGGCCACTGCAGCCTCACCTGCTGGGCTCCGGCGATCCTTCCACCTCAGCCTTCCAAGTAGCTGGAACTACAGGCGCACGATACCACGCCCGGCTAATTTTTTGATTTGTTGTAGAGATGAGGTCTCGCCAAGTTGCCCAGGTGGGCTTGAACCTGTGGGCTCAGACAATCCGCTCACCTCGGCCTCCCAAAGCGCTGGGATTACAGGCTGAGCCACCGAGCCCAGCCTACATTCTTGATTTACTCATTTTCTTGATTGATTTGAAAACATAAAAGTTTAGTAAATTTCATTACTTTTAAAATTTAGTTGATGCATTGGCAGTTTGACTTTCTTCATCTTTATTCCTCAGGATTCTTACAGACTTTTTTTGGAGACAGGGTCTTACTCTGTCACCCAGGCTGGGGTGCAATAGTACAATCATAGCTCATGTAGCCCCAAATTTCAGGGCTCAAGTTACCCTCTCACCTCAGCCTCCTGAGTTGCTGGGATTACAGGCATGAGCCACTGTGACTGGCCCTCTGATAGACTTGATTGATTGATTGATTGAGTGAGTGAGTCAGAGTCCCATGGTGTCATCTAGGCTGGAGTGCAGTGGCACGCGCATGGCCACTGCAGCTTCAACCTGCTGGCTTCAGGCAATCCTTCTGCCTCAGCCTTCCAAGTAGCTGGAACTATAGGCGTGTGCTACCACGCCCAGCTTATTTTTTGAGATTTATTGTAGAGATGAAGTCTCACCAAGTTGGCCAGACTGGTCTCGATCCTCTAAGCTTAGGCAATCCTCTAGCCTCAGCCTCTCAAAGTGCTGGGTTACACAGGCCTGAGCCACTAGACCTGGCCTCTGATAGACTTTAAAACAGGAAGGAAAGGGCAACCCAGCCATACAATACTTTTCCAGTATTGTGTGGCACAGATTTCTTTGGCCTGCTAAATTTGCATGTTTGTTGATTCTTGTTTCCCTTTTACAATTCAACTCTCCTAGTCTAATAAAAACAATGTATCTCACTGGGCACAGTAGCTTACACCTATAATGCCAGCACTTTGGGAGGCTAAGTTGAGAGGATTGCTTGTCAAGGAATTCAAGATAAGCCTGGGCAATATAATGAGTTCCTGTCTCTACAAAAGAAATGAAAAAATTAGTGGGATATGGTGGCATGCACCTGTAGTCCTAGCTACTTGGCAAGCTGAGGCAAAAGGATTGCTTAGCCCAGGTTTTGAAGGCTGCATTGAGCTGTGATCATGCCACTGCATTTCAGCCTGGGTGGCAGAGAGTGAGATCCTGTCTCTTAATACAAACAAACAACAGCAAAACCCCATCTGTGTGACACTTCTTCGGGTACACACACACACACACACACACACACACACACACACACACGCTACATTATTTTATCCTCATTATTATCTGCCATAGCATGCAATTTTAAAAATCTGGGCCGGGCTCGGTGGCTCAGCCTGTAATCCCAGCACTTTGGGCTTTGGGAGGCCGAGGCGAGTGGATTGCCTGAGCCCGGGTTCGAGACCCGCCTGGGCAACTTGGTGAGACCTCGTCTCTACAATAAATCAAAAACTAGCCGGGCGTGGTAGCGCAGGCCTGTAGTTCCAGCTACCTGGAAGGCTGAGGCAGAAGGATTGCCTGAACCCAGTAGGTCGAGACTGCATGGCCGGGAGTGGCCACTGCCCTCCAGTCTGGGTGACAGAGTGAGACTCCAACTCAAAAAAAAAAAAAAAATCTGTATTTATTTCAGTTGCATAATATTGAGAACATGCTGATATAAGCATGTAGATATTAAAAGTTTGTTGGTTTTCTTTTTTCAGTTGTCCTTGCAACTTAAGGACAGTAGTTGATTAAACTGTTATCAGGAGAGCTTTATTTTTAAGCCTACACAAAATTAATGATTCTGATTGAAGTGCTGATAGTATTTGCCACATTAAGATGCTTATGTGTAACTTTCTTTTTTGTTTTTTGAGATGAGTTCTCACTCTTGCCCAGCTGGCCTTGTACTCCTGGGATCAAGTGATATTCTGACCTCAACCTCTTAAGTAGCTGGGACTACAGGCACAGGCCACCATTCCTGGCTAATTTTTATTTTTTGTGGAGACAGGATGTTGCTCTGGTGCTCAGGCTGTTCTCAAACTGCTGGGCTCAAGTGATCCTCCCTCCCTCTTTTGTCTCTCCAAGAACTTGAATAGGTGTGAGCCACCAGGCCCAGCCACTTGTAACATTTTTAAAAACATAGGCCTGGCTCTGTGGCTCAGCCTGTAATCCAGCACCTTGGGAGCCCGAGGCGAGTGGATGTCCTGAGCCCGTGGGTTCAAGATCATCCAGCTAAATTGACGAGACCTCCTCTCTAAAATAAATAAAAAATTAGCCAGGTGTGATGGCATGCGCCTGTAGCCAGATATGGAAGGTTGAGGCGGAAGGATCATCGGAGCCCAACAAGTCGACACTGGAGTGACTGTGAGTGTGCCACTGCACTCCAGCCTGGGCAATGGAGTGAGGCTCCATTTCAAAAAAAAAAAAAAAAAAAATCACATAGCATCTTTGAATATGTGTGTTCTTTTCCACTTTAAACAAGATAATTTAACATAATCTTTAAATAGTGCAAAATTATATTTGATTAGGCACAATTGTTTCTCTCCATAAATTAAGATGTATTTTTATTTATTTATTTATATTTGAGTTGGAGTCTCACTCAGTCGCCCAGACCGGAGTGCAGTGGCCGTTCCCGGCCACCGCAGCCTCGACCTGCTGGGCTCCGGCGATCCTTCCACCTCAGCCTTCCAAGTAGCTGGAACTACAGGCATGCGCTACCACACCCGGCTAATTTTTGATTTATTGTAGAGACGAGGTCTCGCCAAGTTGCCCAAGCAGGTCGTGAACCCGCGAGCTCAGGCAATCCACTCACCTCAGCCTCCCAAAGGCGAGGGATTACAGGCTGAGCCACCATCCTGGCTCTCTTTTTTTTTTAATATGCTCTCCCTTGCATGCAGTAGGGTGTTCTTTATATATTATAAAACTAAAATATAGAAACAAATGAATAATGTAGATGATACAAGATTGCAACCATCATCCATAGTTTCATTTTTTTTCACTAACTTACTGCTACCAATTTGAACTTGTAAATATGTTTATACTATTAAAATACTGCTGTCCTTATCTGTGTTCTGGGTTATAAAATTATTTATAATAGTTATATTATTATAAACCTACCCCATGATGTGCCCCATGCTATTCCCAGTCCCATTAGAATCCCATTATAGCTTTTAACAGAATCCTATTAGAGTTTCTTCTCTTTGCATCAAGAGTGAGTATAGATTCTCTTGCAAACTAAATCAGAAGGAACTGGAAGGAAGAAACAAAGTTCATTTTCTTTGAGGTCTGCTGTCTGAATAATATTAAAGCCCTCTTGGTTTCTTTTTGGTGCTTATTTTCACACAGATGACATTTTTTTCTTTCTTTTTTTTCTGCTAAGATACTAATGTCTATGGATTTTTTTCTCTTGTTTTTTAGCAAATCACAGATGATGGTCTCATTACTATATGCAGAGGGTGCCATAAATTACAGTCCCTCTGTGCCTCTGGCTGCTCCAACATCACAGATGCCATCCTGAATGCTCTAGGTCAGAACTGCCCACGGCTTAGGTAAACATTTCTTGTTTAGCTAAAAAAAAAAAAATCAGGGAAAAGAAAGAAAAGCCTCCATCACCTATATGTATTCTTGGAACTTTGAAATGTGAAGGTAGATACTACAGAACCACCGACCTTTTTAGATGCCCACCGACTTGACTTGTGCCTCATTTGATTACATGTAATTGGCGTGAACTAAAGGGTAACAGTCCCACCTTCCACTACTTGCTATACATACTAGAAGACAAACATTTTATTTCATTACTTGAGAAAGAAGGAAAGATATTTTCTCTTATTAATGGTTTTATATTTCTTTTCTCAAAGAAGTTTTTGAAGGCCCATTCTGAGGTCACTTATATTACAGTAATGGTGCCAGGTCCATAGCAGGGAATACTGTATGTACAAAGAGCAAACAACCTTACAGGAGGAACTCTTGGATAGATCTTTTAAAACGACCTTATTTCTCTGTGGCTTCTCCTCTGCTTAAATATGGAATTGACTGTTGACTAAGAATGTGGTGTTAGTGTGTATGTGAAATTAAATTCATATTGATTATGTAAACCCATATTGGTTCTATAAGAGCAACAGCACACTATTTTGTAATGAATAGGGATGATCTCCATATGCTGTTTTTGGGATTTTTGTTGTTGTAGTTGTTGTTTTGAGATGGAGTATCATAATGTTGTGTAGGCTGGCCTCAACCAACTGAGCTCAAGTGGTCCTCTTCCTCAGCCTCTGGAGTAACTGGGACTGTAGGCTCATACCAGCAAGTCTGTCTGTCTTTTTTGTTTTTTAAAACAAACTTATACAGTACTTATAAGTTAGGTGTTGTTTTAGGTGCTTTACAGATATATTGATTCATTTAACACCATATGAGCACTGTTATCATCTCCATATTATAGATGAGAAAACTGAAGCACAAAGAGGTTGAGTAACCTGCTCAAGGCCTCAGAGCTAGTAGGTATAGGAGCAAGGATTCAAACCAGGCAGTCTGGCTCCAGAGCCCCCAAAACCTCTTTTCTTACATATAATAATCATTGTGAAGCAATGAAACTTTCAGAAATTGTTTTTTGATGGTCACTTGGCCTAGCCATAATTGTTGAAAGAACTTTTGCCTATAATATCAAAAATTTCTTAATAGATCACAGGCCTGGTCAAAATTAGTAGCATCTAAAGCTGAGAGAATAGTACTCCTTGGGAGCTAGCGAGGTGACTACGCCGCTCTCTAGAAAAGCAATACGTGATCCTTTTCTGGGGAGAGAGATCTTCAGCTCCATCTTCCCGTGTGGGTCACTGTGTTAGAATGGAAAGGGTTTCTCAAATGTGACACTCAGTCAGGATCAGTGGCTCAGGCTGTAATCCCACGCTTTGGGAGGCTGAGGTGAATGGATTGTCTGAGCCCGCGGGTTTGAGACCCGCCTGGGCAACTTGGCGAGACCTCATTTCTACAATAAATAAAAAAATTAGCCGGGCATGTAGCACGCACCTGTAGTTCCTGCTACTTGGAAGGCTGAGGCGGAAGGATCGCCAGAGCCCAGCAGGTCAAGGCTGTGGTGGCGGCCACTGCACTCCAGTCTGGGCAACAGTGAGACTCCAACTCAAAAGAAAAAAAGTGACACTCAAAAGTTGTGTTTCAGTCAGATCATGCTCTTCCATTCGATAGAGTATTCATTTTTAATTGATTTTCAATGTATAATGATTTCTTATACTTTAGCTTTCATTTTTTTTTTTTTTACAACTTTGATTGTAGCCACTTTATATGTAAATACATTCTTTGGTACCATTTTACCACACTTCAGAAAAGAGCTGCTTTGGGTTCCCATTCCCCAGTCCCGTGTTGGTCTTTCGGTTGTTATCCAGCAGTTGCCGAACAAGAGAACTGCACCAGCACAGCTGCCCTGCCCTCAGTCTCCCTAGGAACCTGTGGGAGGAGGCAGGAAGCATTCATGAGTCTGGAACTTCGCATTTGGGATAGATTTGTAATTGAGCGGTCCCTATATCACATTTTGAAGAGCTGTTTAAATCTGAATGAACCTACATCTAAACAGAGAAAGAAAATCACTTCCTTCAGCCACAGATGAACTGAATTTGAGTATTTATCTCCATTTCCTTTGTTTTCTAGGACCAGGCTGCCCTCTGGGGGTAAGCAGTATGCCATCAAGAAAGCTTTTAATGCATTTCATGCATTTTGGCATTAACTACAAGCTTCAGTTATATTCTTCTGTGTTCTTTGATTGCATCAGCCCAAAATGTAGTATTTGCAGGATCACTATATGATGACTTCATGAAAATGAATGGCGAGATCTGTATACAGACTTACTTAGCTATTAATGTCATTCTGTATTATAGAGATTTTAGGGATAGGAGGTTGTTTTCTTAAATTCTTGCTGTTTTAATGAACCCAGTTTTCAGGAACCAAGAGCTTTACTTTTGCTTTTTTTTTTTTTGTAACAGAATATTGGAAGTTGCAAGATGTTCTCAGTTAACAGATGTGGGCTTTACCACTCTAGCCAGGGTAAGTATTTTCTCTAGGTTCCATACATTTGCTTTTCCATAGGAATTTTTTAGGATTTTTTTCCAGAAAAATGAGCAGCGAAGGAAATAAAGAATGATAACAGAATTAGGGGTGTGAAATGGAAGGAACTCATCTGTGACTACTGTTTCTGGACATTCTCATGCTATAACTACAGACCTACTGACCCCAGTAAGAATAAGGGCTGCTCTGGAAATGCAGACATGTTGGAGAACATGACACTCCTTCATGAGACTTGATTCTCCACAGTTTCATAAAATGATTGATTAAAGTAAGCAGGGATTTCCTGGTACTTTGTGAAAGAAACTCACTTGGTTATTTGGTATGTGACTAGTAAATGAGAGTAATATTGAAAGTAACACGTAAGTCAGGTATTACATAGAGAGATTTTAAGAGACATTCTGTACTCTCCTGAAGATTTTAATATTTGGAGTGGTTTTTAAATCACTATAATAGTATTTTCCCAAAGATTTTTATACTTGACGTGGTTTGTAAATCACTGTATACCAATAGTGTCGATAGTAATAGTGGTAGTATAGTGATAGTAAATACTTTGACCAGTATTAATTAACAAGGAGAACGTTGTTTGCTTTCAGGCAGATAGATGGAGTACTAATTGGGTGGGAGCAGGACATGGCACAATGAAAAGAGGACATAAAACTTAGTTCCTCCCTCCCAAAGAAACAGTTTTCTTTCTTTTTTCTTTTTTTCTGTGTCAGAGTCTCAGGCTGGAGTGCAAACTCACAGCTACCACAGCCTCGACCTGCTGGACTCAGGCGATCTTTCTGCCTTAGCCTTCCAAGTAGCTAGAACTACAACCGTGCACCACCTCACCTGGCTAATTTTTTGATTTATTATAGAGATGAAGTCTCACCAAGTTGCCCAGACTGGTCTCAAACCCTGGGCTCAGGCAATCCTCTTGCCTCGGCCTCCCAAAGTGCTGGGATTATAGGCTGGAGCCATTGAGCCTGACTAGAAACAAAGTTCATTACATTATTTATGTTTGAAAGCATCTCTGCATTAGCCCAGTATTAAGCTCAATGAATTTATTCCCCTGGACTTCTTTTTTTTTTTGAGTCAGATTCTCGTTCTGTCGCCCAGGCTGGAGTGCAGTGGCACGCTCACAGCCACTCCAGCCTCAACCTGCTGGGTTCAGGTGATCTTTCCAAGTAGCTGGAGCCACAGGTATACGCCACCATGCCTGGCTAATTTTTTTTGATTCATTGTAGAGACGAGGTCTCGCCAAGTTGCTCGGGCTAGTCTTAAGCCCCTGAACTCAGGAGATCCTCTTATCTCAGCCTCCCAAAATGCTGGAATTACAGGCGTGAGCCACCATGCATGGCTATTCCCTGGACTTTTTTTTTTTTTTTTGAGTTGGAGTCTCACTCTGTCGCCCAGACTGGAGTGCAGTGGCTGCTCCCAGCCACCGCAGCCTCGACCTGCTGGACTCCGGCGATCCTTCCGCCTCAGCCTTCCAAGTAGCTGGAATTACAGGCGTGCACTACCACACCCAGCTAATGTTTTTGATTTATTGTAGAGATGAGGTCTCGCTGCCCAGGCAGGTCTTGAACCCACGGGCTCAGACAGTCCACTCACCTCAGCCTCCCAAAGGCGTGGGATTACAAGCTGAGCCACCGAGGCCGGCTTCCCCTGGACTTTTAAGATATTTGATACTTTAAATGTGGAATAATTGAGAAATTTCACTCGAATCAAAGCCTTTTACAATGTATAATTAGTGGAATAAGATAGACAGTGACATTAGAATGACACCAATTTTGAAACAGTAAGAACTTATCAGTATATTTAATACTACCTTTTACCGTTTTAAATGTTTGTACTAGAATGTTTGGTTTTGTACTTTGTAGAATTGCCATGAGCTTGAAAAGATGGACCTGGAAGAGTGTGTTCAGGTAAGATTTTAGGTTTTAATTCAGAAGTGCAGTGTGATAGAAACATAGATAGCACATGTACATCAGAATGTCTGGTGCCCCTACCCTAGTGTGGGACGCAGTAGTGCCTGGCAGCTTTGATAGTCCTCCGTCCATTGAGGTGCCTTCCAGGCAGAGGTGTTCTTCATATATGTAACCAAGAACCATAGAAATAAATGCCGTCAATTAGGTTGTCATTAAAGAGAAAGAAGGCCCGAGCCATTCAGGCCTTAAAAATGTTAACATATTTCCTTAGACCTACAGAGGTATGATGCTAGTAATAATTAAGGCCCCATCACATGGATCTATGTAGCAGGCTTTGTTTTTAGCTTTACTGGATCATTAGCATGGGAGACTGACTACATGAACTCTGCCCTTAGGGCAGACTGGCCTCCTTATCAGCAATTTCTTTTTTTTGTTGAGTTGGACTCTCACTCTGTCACCCAGGCTGGAGGGCAGTGGCATGCTCCCGGCCACTGCTGCCTCAACCTGCTGGGCTCAGGCGAACTTTCTGCCTCAGCATTCCAATTAGCTGGAACTACAGGCATGCGCCCCCACGCCTAGCTAATTTTTTGATTTATTGTAGAGATGAAGTCTTGCCAAGGTGCCTAGGTTGATCTCGAACCTGCAGACTCAGGCAATCCTCTCACCTCGGCCTCCCAAAGTACTGGGATTATAGGCGTGAGCCACCGCGCCTGACCCCAACAGCAATTTCTTGTTACCAGTTTTAGAACTTTGAGATTATTAATTTATTGGGGAGCAATTTTGAAGGGGAGACTCCAAAAAGGAAGTTAGAGCAATTAATTTTCTGATGGTAAAAATAAAGAAGGGAAAATACTTCTCTAACAGTAAGGGTCACTTTTTTTTAGTTACTTGTGGAGACACTACTTAGCAGCTGTAAGTGCTTCCTAAACTAGAACTTGTTCATATTCATTTGTCTCTTGGGTACACCTATATATCCTCTATGTCCTTTCCAGTGTTGGTCTTTCTGAATGGACATGCTGTCTGCTTTTCTCCCTTTCTCTGCCAATTCTTAGCCTCTATAAAGCTATGTGTAGTAGGAAAAAATAATAATCTCAGCGTTGGAGAAAAATTTGAAAAGAAGCACAGGGGGTCTGATGGACTTTCAGTCCTAACATAACTGTGAAAGAATGTTTTTTCTGCCTTAGTACTCACAGTTATCTCAGATTTCAGCAGCACCTGCCTGCCACCCTTGGAGAAGTAGCTAATGCCAAGGTTATCAACCCTGAGTTGTTACGTGTCTTATTTAAAAGTGGGACAAATATCTAAAAGTTGAGGATGTTCTGTTTTTTTCATGGAGCATTTTCTTCTGATTCTTTTCTGTGACAGTTCTAAGGTAGTAGAACAGAGTCCAATGAGTAGAAGTTCCAAGGGACAGATTTCTTTCTTTATTTAAGATTGAGGTCTTGCTATATTGTCTGGGCTGGTCTTGAATCCTGACCTCAAGCAATCCTCCCACCTCAGCCTCCCTCATAGCTGGAGCTCCAGGAGTAAACCACTGTGCCTGTCTACCAAAGGGACAGATTAACAGATTTGTATTCATTTCACAAACAAAACAAAATTTTGAACACAGCTTTCCAACGATGAAGACTAGAGTTGACTATATGTGTTCAAGCCTAGCCTGGGTGGCTTCTTATAGAATGGATTTGGGTAGCCAATGGGATTTAAACCTTAAGATTCTGATATTTGCCAGGTGTAGTGGCTTGCACCTATAATCCCAGTACTTTGAGGGGCACAGGCAAGAGGATTGCCTTAGTCCAGTGGTTCGAGACCAGCTTGGGCAAGTTGACGAGACCTCATCTCTACAATAAATCAAAAATAAGCCGGGAGTGGTAGCACACGCCTGTAGTTCCAGCTACTTGGAAGACTGAGGTGGAAGGATCACCTGAGCCCAGCAGGTCGAAGCTGAGGTGGCTGTGAGCATGCCACTGCACTCCAACCTGGGCAACAGAGTGTGACTCCTACTCAAAAAAAAAAAAAGATTCTGTTATTTGATGATTGCTCATCAAGATGTCTAGACTAGAAATGTAGTCAGGTATAAATTATTACCTATGATTTTATATGGAATTATACCTAAAATAAACTTACATGTTTCTTTCAGATAACAGATAGCACATTAATACAACTTTCTATACATTGTCCTCGACTTCAAGTATTGGTGAGTTTGGCTTTCAAAGTTTTATGTGTTTATTGGATTTAATCGGAAGCGAGTACTGTAGTTAAATAACTCAGCTCTTACTTTCTTCTTAGTGTCAGGCTACCACTTTAGGAAAGGATGCTTCTCTAAATTGCCTTCTTACTACGGACCAAGGGAGGACCTGAGTGAAATGGCAGACTGAGATAGACAGAAACTGGAAAAGCTGAATGTTTTCTGTATCTATGTTTGGAGGCCAAAAACTGACACGAAAAGTATGAGTTCTCACTTCCAGATGACTTACACTCCATCCTGAATGAAGTTTACATTTCCCAAGATCCAGGGAATGAGATGGCCCAAAATACAATGTGCTTCTTCTTGGAACCATATATTCTTATAAAACAGAAGCAGTCAAGGTTTTCTTAGGGGGATTTCTTGCTACTACTTTCAGTGATGCTGTAGGAAGGCATTCTGGTTGACACTTCTGTATCTAGGCTCACTTTTGGTGGAAGTACTTTTCTCACAGAACTATTCAAAACTGGGTCAAGAGTTCCAAGTTTCCCAGAATAAGGGATTAAAGGAAAATTGATGAAGAGATTATGTAATGAGATGATCACACCTGACAGCTATAAAGATTGTCTTCAGTTAGTTAACTGTTGGGGCATGCCCTTGTACCAGATATTCAATATTTAGTTCAAATTCCAGAAAACTCCATGAAAAGCTTGATCCCCACTTGTCCCTGTAGAGAAGAAAAGTGTTAATTTGAGATAGGGGTAATTTTTAAGACTGCCTTGTTTTGTTTGTGAACTAGTTCAAAGTCATTATGTTAATTTATAAAATGTATTTAGAGTCCTACGCATGAAAGCATCAATTATTGATTGCCAAAAGCATAATCTCAGCAACTCTAGTGTGTTTTCTTCGTTTCACCCTATGGATCTAGTGATGGCTCTATTTGCATCAAAATCAAACTCTGAAAGGTCTTCTTTCTGGTTTTACATAAGCCTTTGGCTAGAGGAATGCCAGAAGACATTTCAGCTTGCTTCCTTGTTCTATTTGGCTGCAGAGTCTGTCTCACTGTGAGCTGATCACAGACGATGGAATTCGTCACCTGGGGAATGGAGCCTGCGCCCATGACCAGTTGGAGGTGATTGAGCTGGACAACTGCCCACTAATCACAGATGCATCCCTGGAGCACTTGAAGAGCTGTCACAGCCTGGAGAGGATAGAACTCTATGACTGCCAGCAAATCACACGGGCTGGAATCAAGAGACTCAGGGTAAAGATAGCTGCATAATTCTCCAGCTCTGGTGTTTTCAGCACTTTTTCTTTTCTTCTTTCTTTTTTTTTTTCAGATTTAGATTCCTGTGATATTCATATTTACTTGGACATTTAGCAGGGAAAAAATACAGGGCAAATGTAAGGGTAGATAGTTTTATCCTGTGGTTCCAGATGGAAATTTGGTGGGAAAGTACCCACAAAGAGAAGAAAAGTAGGTCTCCTCCCAGTAGTCTCTCTCCAATAATGTCCAGGGCTTAATAACAACCCAGAGCACACCACATTTTGGTTCTAAAGGAAAGAAAGAAATAGCATAAAATATTTGGTAAAATGAGATTTAAGAATTAATTTAACTTGTATTTTCTTTTCACATTAAACCCTTTTCCTAGAGTTATTTTTTAAAACAACAAATGAAGCAGAATTATATTTTTTCCATTTCTTTTGCTTCATCCACCATAATAAAGAGCCCCATGTGTAGCCAAATGATTAGAAAACAGGTTGTCAGCAAAGAAGTTGTAAAAAAGCTGGATGAATCTTTATGTTAGATTATTCCAGCCGGGCTCGGTGGCTCAGCCTGTAATCCCAGCACTTTGGGAGGCCAAGGCGAGTGGATTGCCTGAGCTTGCGGGTTCGAGATCCACCCGGCCAACTTGGCGAGACCTTGTCTCTATAATAAATCAAAAATTAGCCGGGCGTGGTAGCGCGCACCTGTAGTTCCAGCTACTTGGAAGGCTGAGACGGAAGGATCGCCGGAGCCCAGCAGGTCAAGGCTGCGGTAGCCGAGAGTGTGCCACTGCACTCCAGTCTGGGCGACAGAGTGAAACTCCAACTCAAAAAAAACAAAAAACAAAAACAAACAAACAAAAAGATTATTCTGCTTAACAGACATCGATTGGAACATCTGCTTCACACCTGCTGTAGGAAGACACTGTGCTTAGTTAGGCCCTTACCACCAGCCACTACAAAATCTATGTTGGCCTTATGGCCTTGAACAAATAAAAGAATACTAAACCTCATCTTGGGTTCCATTTGCCCTCAGTTCCTCCTTCCCCTTCAGTCATAGAGGACTGAGAGAATAACTGCACTGGGGAAGCCTTTGCAGCCATATTTCTTCTCCACTGAAAGAGAAGGCAAGCCACAGGTCAGCTACAGCCTCTTTTCTAGCTTACTCACACCAGGGCTCCTGGGCCTGCCTGGCTGTCAGGAATCTTGTACATCTTTTAATCCTTGGAAGATGGAACTGTTATATGTTCTTAAGTCACTTGGCACTTTCCCACTTTAGCTGTTTATGTGCACGTCTGGACTCCAAGCACCCAAGAGCAGAGTCCCCATCCTGATCA